TCAAAAGTGTGTCTCTACCAGATGGGTCTGTAGTCTCAAAGAAACTCCGAATGGTATTGTGCCCAAAGCGCGACTCGTAGCCAGAGGTTTTGAAGAGCTTAATATTCACGAGCTGCAGAAAGATTCTCCAACCTGTGCTTCTGACTCTCTTAGGCTGTTATTAGCTGTAATCTGTCAAAATAAGTGGCAAGTCCATTCTATGGACATCAAATCTGCTTTCTTGCAGGGCATGCAGTTGTCCAGAGAAATCTATGTCCGGCCCCCTCCTGAAGCAGGAAAAGAAAATGTTCTATGGAAACTAAACAAGTGTGTTTACGGCCTTGCAGATGCATCATTGTATTGGTACAACAAAGTGAAAGAAATCATGCTGAGTACAGGTGGTAAAATGTCTAAAGTAGATCCAGCAGTATTCTATTGGTTGGATGAACAGTGTAAGGTTACTGGAGTACTCGCATGTCATGTTGATGATTTTCTTTGGGCAGGCTCACAAAACTTCTCAACAGATGTGATACCTACACTAAAGTCTGTATTACATGTTGGACGTGAGGAACATGAAAATTTCTGCTATGTGGGAATGGACTTTGTTACTATTAATGGTGTAGTTCATGTACATCAGCATAGTTACATTGAAAACCTACAGCCTATTCGACTGCAAGTAGCACGTGCAGTGCAGAGGGATGCCTCTCTTAATGAGACTGAAAAAGAGCAGCTTAGGTCAAAAATAGGACAAATACTGTGGGTTGCAAAACAAACCAGACCAGACATTATGTTTGATGTATGCAGTTTAGCATCAAATATAAAGTATGCTACAGTCCAGTCTATTCACGAGACAAATAAGGTCATTAGAAAGCTTAAATCTGAAAAGTTGACTCCGGTTTCAACATTTGGGAAACAGTGATGCTCTAAACTTTGTTGTTTTCAGTGATGCTTCCCTTGGAAATCTCCCTGATGGGGGCACAAGGTGGGGGCATTGATTGGTCTCATGGGAGAAGGAGGGAAGTTTTCTCCTCTCAGTTGGCAATCTAAGAAAATTAGACGTGTGGTGAGGAGTACTCTGGCAGGGGAAACTCTGGCCCTGTCAGATGGAATAGATAATGCCATTTTTCTGACTACTCTCTTTTCTGAACTTACTACTGGAAATGCTGAACTGAATACTCCTCTGTTGATCTGTGTGACAGACAACCACTCTCTGTTAGATGCCCTTACGTCAACAAAACAGGTCTCTTGAGAAACGTCTTCGACTAGAAATAAGCAGCATAAAGGAGCTCATACAAGAATCAAGTAAAAGAATCAAGAAGGTACTCTGGTCGGACACAAAAACTCAACTCGCTGACTGTCTTACAAAAAAAGGAGCGTCGGCCCTGATGTTATTGAAAGTACTCAGTGAAGGACTATGGTGCTATTGAAAGCACTTAGTTAAGGACTGGGGACACTTGTTAATAAAAAAAAAAAAAAAAAAGAGAGGAAAGAGGTTCATTTGAAAAAAACTGTATACTTTCAATCGGATATACAACAATTTTTTTTTGGTAACTGTAATCTTTGTTTTGTATGTTTTTTTATTTATATTTTCTTTGTTTAAAGTATAGGGAGATTGTTAACATGTTATTTCCTCCCTACTTTGTTCACATGGAAGAAGGTTCTTCCAGGTTAAAAATGAGGTTAGCGTATGCGCTGGTTCAAAGGTGAGTGCGGGGGTAAAAAGGGGGCGTTGTTGTAGAGGAACAGTGTTGAACCGTGTTGCATATGTGAGCGAAGTGATGAAAGGAATAAAGTGCGTTAACTGAGTAAACTTCGCGTTTATTTGATTTAACAAGACATATCAAGTAATTTGGTTGTTTCTCCATCCACTATCCATTTTTCGCTTTTCTCTTTGGTTATATATAGTTTTACTAACTTCTATCTCCCCCCTTTTCTGATTTTCCAGGTACAGACATCTCCGTGGGGGAAGAAGTAGCCATCAAGCTAGAATGTGTGAAAACGAAGCACCCACAGCTGCACATCGAGAGCAAGATCTACAAGATGATGCAAGGAGGCGGTACGTGTTTCCACACTCAGTCAATAGCTCCTCGTGGTCTCCATCCGGCTTCTCCATTAACACAGAACTATGAGTCACATGTACACACCTCACACTGCTGCCACATACATAAGAGCCTGTATTTAATATGAACAGTTAGGTGTTAAGTTGATATTTGCCTTATTAGTTTTCTTTCTTTCTTTCTTTTTTCTTTTTTGGTAATATTTAAACTGAATATTTCTTGGTATTGAAAGGCTGTTTGATATCGTACCATTTTAATCATATTGTGAAATGTTAAAAGCAGAGCTTAACATTATAGAAATATAAAATACATACGGCCATTCAAAGGTTTGGGGTTGGTAGTTTGTTTAATATATTTGAAAGAAGCTTTTTATGCTCACCTAGGCTGCATTTATTTGACCAAAAATACAGTTAAAACTGTAATATTGTAAAATATTATTAGAATTTAAAATAACTTCTATTTTTAATTTCTATATTTTAAAATGTAAGTTATTTCTCTGCCAGCAAAGTTGAATTTTCAGCAGCCATTACTCCAGTCTTCAGTGTCACACATCCTTCAGGAATCATTATAATATGCCGATTTGGTGCTCATTTTTTCTTATTATTATAAGCCTTGAACACAGTTGTGCTGGTTAATAATTTGTGGAAACCGTGGTACTGTTTTTTTTCAGAATAGAAAGTTCAAAACAACTGCATTTATATGAAAAAAAAATTGCTGAATGAAAGTATTAATGTCTTTTATATAGGGCTGCACGATAAATCGCATGCAATATTTAACGCGCATCTTGTCAGAAAGCCGGTTCTGTAATCAGCGGTAAATCTCCATCACCTGCGTGCCTTCACATTGAGCAGCATTAACTACACAGAGCCGTTGTTCACTGACGAGTTGCGCAAAACCGCGTTCATATTCGCGCGATGTTTTTGCGCTGCTCGTCAGTGAACAACGGCTCTGTGTTGTTAATGCTGCTCAATGTGAAAGCACGCAGGTGATGGAGATTTACCGCTGATTACAGAACCGGCTTTCTGACAAGATGCGCATTAAATATCGCATGCGATTTATCGTGCAGCCCTACTTTTATACATTACAAAAATCTTACTAACTCAAAACTTTTGAACGTTATAGTGTGGATAAATATGGGTCATTTTGTGCTGGGGCCAGTGGAAATTTAAAGCAGGAACTACTGGATGTCCTTCCTGTTGATCCCTGGTTAGTAATATTAGCCTCTGAAAGTCTCTATAAATTATGACCATTTTATGTTGGCTTAATGTTGTACTTTTGATGAGCTCCTGAGTAATTTGTTTGAGTAAGAGGGTTCTCTGGAGGTAAGGTGTAGTTCACAGGATCTCCATTTCTTAGATGGTGTTACAGAATACTGTAGCAACAGTAGGCAGCAAACCAATCGTGATCAGTTCCCCTCGCTTCATCAGTCAGTGAGTCAACACATCCTTCTCCAATGAGAGTGGCATTATCAGATCTCAAACTACTCATAGCGTTCTGTCACCACCACCATGAATCGTCTTCTCATTGGCCTTGCGTGGAGGTGAAGGAAGTAGGCAATTTGTATCCTCAGCATTGTTATCGGTCACAAAATCAGGCTTTTGTTGAAATTTTGGTTCTGTTGTAATGTATGGTGATGGTTTATGAATATACATGAGGTGCATTAAGGATGCGTCCCCCCTACCGGCCCCGGCGGGGTTTGGCCCCGATTGCTTTTATACTAGATAGATGTATGACAATCCTGTCGGGTGTATTTTATGGTGCCAGCAGCAAAAGTGTGTCGTCTATGGCATTCGCTTTCAGACACGCTCTAGTCTGTCCTCTCTCTTCCCAGCATGACTGAGCAAGCATGACATTCGCTCCGCGGCGGCCAAACGTTGCGATGGCATCTGTGCCACGACAGACCGACATTGTGAGTGAGCCTCCCTCTCAGCGCTTGTGCTCTATATGATCACATGGACCCCGGGCCAGATGGTGCGTGCGGAGGGGAGTGGGTGTGAGGTGGGAGGGGCCTTCCCTGTGCATTCCATCTCCTAACTGGGTCTCTTGCACCACTCGCAGCCTTATTTAGCACAGCATGAACAAGCATACACACTGATAACTTTATATTGAGAAAGGTGCGGGTACCTGCATGTATGCGTGCATGCGTGTGCATGCATGTTGTAGGTAGAAAGGGAACCTTTCATGCTATTTCTTTCTGTATGTTTTAGCAGCACAGTTGCAGTCTTTTTCCAGTCCATACATAGAGAAGCACAAGGCTTGGCATTTTTCTATTTTAATTCTTATTAATATAGACCATGTCAGAGCTGTCCTGATGTGAGAATGGAAAGGCGTGCTGGACGGCTCAGACCAGGAGATATATTTAACCTCCTGAGTTTGCGCAGGAATAGCTGACCTGGAGGATGTTTTCTGGAAAGTGCTGAACAGCAAAAGCTCTGTGTTGTTGAAGGCATCGGCCAGGCTCAGGGTGCGCACGGCCGTAGACACGACAGCAGCTGCCGAGAGATCTCTGACCTACCAGAACTCTGCTGAACCCTCTGTCTCTTCCTCTCCTTGATAATCCTGGAAAATTCGTAAAAAAGCTTAGTCTTGACTAAAAGAGTGGCGTTAAAGAAACCTGTTTGAAAACAGTCTTTATACTGTAAAATGTATGACAATACATTCACAGTGGGGGAAAAAGGCAGCTGTGGATGCCAGGAATTTACTGTAAAAAAAAATTTAATTTCAAGATTTTTAAATTACTGAAATCTGCTATGTGGCATAGAGGGTACTGATAACCACCATGATGTGTGTGGAAATAGAAAGCCACATGATTAATCAGTTAATCATAAGTGGCCTGTCTATAAAACATGGCCAGAACTGAATATTCAAACACACAAAGATCAAACGGGTAACACACCACACATTAAAAAAATGCAATAAACATTAACAGAAAATGTAAACATGCTAATATACGTTACTCGAAAATAAGGAGAACCAAAACTTTTTAAATAACTTTTGAGATTGTCCTTTTTTTCACCATAAATTATTACAGTAATTCATAGTATTTACCTGCAAAAACAAAGTATTTTACAGTAAAATTATGGCATGTTAAACATTTTCATTTTTATATTGTGTATGGTAACTTTAACCGATTAACAGGTTTTGCTGTAATTTATTGCAATATATTTGTAAGTTTAAATAAAAAATTTGTATTCTTACCATCTCATGTGCAGGAAAAAGCCCTTGAAGTGATCTAATTGGGTATCAGCTGTCTTTCCCTGACAGCCTATATCTTTTCGTGCATCACTTCAAGGTCATCCTAGAGATGGTTTATGCTTTATGGCTGATGAGTTGGAGCCCGTTCTGAGGGTGACCAACCACGACCGCTGGTTTACTTAAGCTGAAGCTCTGCTTGGGTTTTATCACATCACTGCCTTACTGAAACAAACAGGCTCCCAACCCCCCACCTATTATATTGTAGGTCACCTTCAGTTTCTGTCAGTCAGTCCTTCAAAGATACAAATATGTATTAGTCAAACTTTCCCCTCTATTCTGTAATTTAAACTTTCAAGATCCTTTTGGTTGGCAAGCATTTCCTTCATAAACCGAATTCCCTTTTACAAGAAAAAAAAGTCATCTGTACTAAGGGTAATTGTTTCTTTTACAGTCGGTATCCCAACAATCAAATGGTGTGGAGCAGAGGGAGATTACAATGTGATGGTGATGGAGCTGCTGGGACCCAGTTTGGAGGATCTCTTCAACTTCTGTTCTCGCAAGTTCAGCCTAAAGACTGTTCTTCTGCTGGCTGACCAGATGGTAAGGCTTGTAGACGTGATCACTGTAACCTTTGTCCTCTCCACCCTACCCATCTCTTGTTATAGGACACCCAAAATGGGATAATGTGGTGTTCTGGTGACATGACAAGCTTTACTGTCATCCTTTCAGCTGTTTTACTTAGACAACCAGTGTCCTTTTTCACTCGTGTTTGACTGAGTATTACGTGCCAAGAGGCACTGTGAAAGGAGGCATAATGTGAAAGGACTGCTTGTTCAGCGGTTGTCATGCCCTCATTGCTTTATTTGAATTGGTGTGTTAGGTTTGCATGGAGTCTCTCATTCAGTCATTCGACCTGCTGAACCTGTCCTCTGTTCTGTCCTCAGATCAGCCGTATCGAGTACATACACTCCAAGAACTTCATCCACAGAGACGTCAAGCCCGACAACTTCCTTATGGGCCTGGGGAAAAAGGGCAACCTTGTTTACATCATTGACTTTGGCCTGGCCAAGAAGTACAGAGATGCTCGCACCCACCAGCACATCCCTTATCGCGAGAACAAAAACTTGACTGGCACTGCTCGCTACGCTTCCATCAACACCCACTTGGGCATAGGTACCCTGACACGTCTTTTTAATAAACTTATTATATTATCATATTGAAACCTCTAGTACTTTCAGACCTGACCTGTCATCACCCTAACATTTACGATTAAGCCACTTCACCTCTTATAGTCTGGCCATCGAAATGACATACAGTGTTTATCGTCGGTGTTTTCTTTCACAGAGCAATCCAGACGAGATGACTTGGAGTCTCTTGGCTATGTGCTCATGTACTTCAACCTGGGCTCTCTGCCATGGCAGGGTCTGAAGGCTGCCACAAAGAGACAGAAGTATGAGCGAATCAGCGAGAAGAAGATGTCCACTCCTATTGAAGTCATGTGCAAAGGATACCCATGTAAGCTTCTGCTTATAAATATAAGGCATTTTTAAGAAGCCAATAGGCTTAAGCTACATTATATCACAGCCATGGACCATAAGCTGCTTGCTAGTTGGAGGCAGGTGGTAGAAGAGAGCATTTGATTGGACCAATCAATCAAATATATCAGTTATCAATTTTATTTTTTTTTTAAAGAAATTAACTTTTTTCATCAGCAAGGACACATTGCATTGATCAGATGTGGCAACAAGGACATTTATAATATTATTTTTATTTTTTTACAAATAAATGCTGTTTTTTTTTTACTTTTTTTTTGTAACTTTTAACAATTATAATAATATTTCAATATTACTTTTTTTAACTGTGTTTTTGATCAAATAAATGCAGCCTTAGTGAGCATATGAGACTTCTTTTAAAACCATCAACAAATCTTACCAACCCTAAACTTTTGAACAGTTGTGTTGATGACTTCAAATGCAACCAAAGTGACTAAAAGCCACAAAACTTAATTTCATTGCATGTGCCTTTTGTTTGTTTCCAGCTGAGTTTGCCACATACCTCAACTTTTGCCGCTCCCTTCGCTTTGACGACAAGCCCGACTACTCTTACCTGAGACAGCTCTTCAGGAACCTTTTCCACAGACAAGGCTTTTCATACGACTATGTGTTTGACTGGAATATGCTCAAATTTGTGAGTGACATATGGGTTGTCTTTGCATGGATGCTGTATTTCTTAAATTGTTGTTGGTTGTTATTGTGGTCTATTAAAGACTTAATGCTTCATTTCTAATGTGTTGTGCTGTTCAGGGTGTGAACAGAGCAGCAGAAGATCCTGAGAGAGAGCGGAGGGATCGAGAGGAAAGATTGCGACATGGGCGGAATCCTGCGGCCCGTGGCATAATGCCCTCCAGCTCAGGTAGACCCAGAGGAACGCAAGAAGTAGCACCTCCCACACCCCTCACGCCAACCTCACACACAGGTAAGATGTCCACTGCTGCCTGTCGGTGCTTGTTTTTTAACTCAAGTAAACATCTGAAGATCTTTTTGTTTGTGCATAAGGATTATTTTGATTTGCAAGATATACAAGGGTTTTCTTTCTCTCCACTGCTTCAGATCAAGACAGATTTGTATTCATCAGCTACTTTCTTTCCTGCCATTTGTTGTTGTCTTAGCTGACAGGAAGTAGTTAAAGGGTTGCAAGCTACTACGCTCAGCAGGATGTTTGCTAGACATGACATAAATTTACTAGCGTTTGCTTTATTGAAGGGCGGAGGTTCACGCAGATATTTGTACAAGAAAGACACTTTAACAGTGACCCTGCACTGGTGTTGAAGTGTATGGCCTCAATTAGCAGAGCCTCAAGGAGTTGAGCGCAAAGACTCATAAACCCACCATGTCACCTCTACCGGAGTCCCAGTAAACTTCTTTTTTTTGTGCAGTTTTTCCAGTTTGGTGTAATTACTTTGTGGTTCAGACGTTGGAAAACAGAAGGATTTTTGTTTAGGTGGACATGACCCAATGTGTGGTGTCAGTGTCCGTTTTTTTCCATTTTCCATGCTTTAGATGACACGTGTCTTCCTTCCTTTGTCTTTTTGCCAGGAATGGAGCGAGAGAGGAAGGTCAGTATGAGATTGCACCGTGGAGCCCCTGTCAACATTTCCTCCTCTGATCTAACTGGTCGACAGGACACTTCACGCATGTCCACATCACAGGTACCAACGTTATGAGATTAAATACTCTGCATTTTTGCCCACTGTTGCCTGTGTGTTTGGCAGCATTGTTAGTCTCTGGCCCCAGCTCCACTGCTCTTAAATGACCCCTTCTTTATTTCCAGTCAAGTCTGACCACAAAATAGATCACTTTGGTTAGTAAACCTTTATAAACGAACTCCTCCACTGTTGTTTTCCAGCAGAGAGACAAAGGAAATGATGATAGAGAGTGATAGCCTTGAAACAGTGCTCAGACGGAGCTTGTGTCTGCTGTGGCCTGGCATGATATGGAGCCGATGTCATGGTCTACAGGGCTTTTAGCATGCCATTATAAAAGCACTCTGCTCTGAGAGGTGTTTTTGGGCTACACTTGCTGTATAGCTGATCTTTAAATGTGTGCAATAGTGAAATTGACAGTATGTGAATAAATGTACAAAAAAAGAATATTATAATTATTATTGATCTTGTTGGACTCAACAATAAGATTTTTTCCCCTCTTAATCCAATTATGTTTTTTCAATTAGGGGTTAGCACTCTTTAATTGAAGCTTTTTTTTTATATATAATTATTTTTATTGAATTTTCACTGTAATACAAAAATAACAAGACATCGTCTCCCCCCCCCAAAAAAAATATTTTTAAACAAATAGTTATTATATTAAAATATATTATATTATATTAAAATATTTTTTTAATAGTTTTAAATAAAACAGGACTACCCCATATATAACAGATTAGGGAAAGAGGAAAAAAATGAGTAGGGCAGAAAAGTTAAGTGTCCAGACAGTTACACAATTACAATATTCCTTGTAGTATAATAGGGCGAAGATGAGGTTCCATATAGTCCAGATATGGAGTCCAGACTTTATAAAACTGGCCTGTTTTTTGATGTAATGCATAGGTAAGACGCTCCAGGGGAATCAGCTAAAACATTTTCTTATGCCAACCTTTAAGTGATGGTGATTTATCACTAATCCAGTTAAGTAAAATATTTTTTCTGGCAGCAAAGGAGAGAATATTATACAATTTCTTGTTCGCAGATGAAACAATGCATTTATTAGGTATACCCAATTATGATGTTTTTTTTTTTAAATGCTTTTTTGTGGGAATTTTTCAGTTATATATGTAACACATTTTTACTGACAAAAAAGCATAAAACAAACCTAAAAAGCATTTTTGCTGGAAAATGATGGAATGTGGTGCAAAACAGTTTGTTTTTTAAAGCCTATTTAAATGGCTCTTTCAAGACTAGCAGAAATCACTCTCTCTATATTGCTGTCAGCCAGCTAAGTTACACTGCTGACATATTTACATGATTTTCATTTGCAAACAACATTGTTCAAAAGTCACTAAAATGTGATATTTGCCTTACATAACTTATAAACGTAAGGATAGTTGAAACGCAAGCGTTGGCCCTGGGCCATCCTTATTGTTGAGCCCTGTATTGTGTGACCACTGCCACATATTTTGGATCTTATTTGCGTAGAGTTCTTTTCAGACCTTGTCACACATTCTTGAAATGTTGCCCAGAGTCATAATTCTGTCTAGAGAGTCTCTGGTGATTTGAATATTTGCTTTTAACGCTTCTGTTCAGATCCACATTTTTTAGGTGTTTACACATTGTTGTTGTTTTTTTAAAAAAGAATTTCACCACAAATGAATATGTTTCCCCCTCCAACCACCCACCCACCCACTTCAGAATAGCATTCCCTATGATCACCACGGCAAGTAGATGCTCGCCATGTTCTGGTATGAGAGACAGCATTGGGTGAGTGACAGTTGGGTGTCTTTTTTTTAATTTTTTTAATACCTGGACTACCTCCACTTCCCTTCATTGAGTAATAGACTCCCTGTCCCACATCACTGCTGTACGGCTGTTACGCAGCACATCACTCACCACACAGAATGATGAGAGACTTCACTACTTCATTCCTAACTGTAACTCAGATGTTTAGCAAAGGCTCTTGAAGTGTTCAATTGAAAAGCAATATGGTGTTATTCAAACAGAGCGCCACAGTCGGGCTCCAGATGTAAAAACCCCATTCAATTTCTCCATAGAGAAACACAAATCTACCATCAGCTCTGAGATTCTCTTGTGAATATATTACTAAAAGAATGTTATGCAAATATTGTTGAAGATTAGCACCCAGCAGTCTGTCTGATGTTACAAGCTAGTTTCTGTACAAAAGCAGTTTCTTCAGTGAAAGTGAGGCATCGTCTTCATTGACTTCCTTTCAGTCAAAATGGCTTCTAAATATTTTGCTTTCAACTTCAAATATTTTTTTTTGTACCTCACTCAGTGGTGTTATATTGTACCGTCATTTTTTATTTAAATTTTTTGGTAGTCTTTCCTGAGATTGTAGTTTGTTTACTCATAACTAATATTAAAGGGTTAGTTCACCAAAAAATGAAAACTCTGTCATTAATTACTCACCCTCATGTCGTTCCAAACCCATAAGACCTTCATTCATCTTCGGAACACAAATTAAGATATTTTTGATGAAATCTGAGAGCTTTCTGACCCTGCATAGACCGCAATGTAACTACCACGTACTCTTATGAACACGCTTCGACTGACACGAAAGAGATTGTTAAATAAAGTCGTTATTTTTGTTTACTTTGTGCACAAAATGTATTCTTGTAGCTTCATAAAATTAAGGTTGAACCACTGTCACATGGACTATTTTAACGATGTCCTTGCTACCTTTCTGGGCCTTGAACATGTCAGTTGTGTTGCTGTCTATGCAGGGTCATAAAGCTCTCAGATTTCATCAAAAATATCTTAATTTGTGTTCCGAAGAACAAAGGTCTTGGGGGTTTGGAACGACATGAGGGTGAGTAATTAATGACAGAATTTTCATTTTTGGGTGAAATATCGCTTCAAGCACACGCTGTTGTACCAAACTCAGTTTAAAAATATTCATATAAGCACTTAGGCTTCAAATCAGAGTTTGTAATGAAGATTAGGGGTGTCAAGGTACACAAAAATGACAGTTCGGTACATAACTTGGTTTTGAAGTCACATGTTGAGTTAGTTTGAAGCAGTTAATATAAAGCATGTTTTATGTTTAGGACAACTTGCATAAGCTCACAGCAGATCACTGTGTTATTCTGCGTTATTTTTCAGATGTGTTCACAGTGTCAAAATATATTGATATAACTGGTACTTTCCTATCCTAGGGGGGAAACTCGGTTTCGAATTATGTTCCACACACACAGAAGTTCCACACGTGCAGCGGTAAAAACAGCACTGCATTCGTTTGGTACACATGCATGCTGAGCCAGAAGACTCGTATCGGAATTTTTTTTTGTACGAATATGTGTATTGTACACCCTTCCTTCAGATTCATCTCAAAGCTGGCTGATTGGTTTGTATTGTGGCTCCTAATTGAAGACTTTTTTAAATGTCTATGGAGAAAATTAATGGTAAAATATTTATGGATCCAAGGCTACACCAAATCCACCAGTATTCATAGCCTGGGATACTTGCATACTTTATTCCGGCTTCATCCCGGTTAGCAGTTTATGACCTCACACTCCACTCTAATGACTCAGATGGTATTTTTAATCTTTGCACAGAAAGTAATTCATAACACCAGATGATGTGATGCGTTACTCGCAGATGGACAGTACTGTTATCCTCTAAGCTGAATCTAGACGGTTGGGCTTTTGCTTATTTTTACTAAAAAATGTGCTAAAGCTTCAGTCTCCAGAAATATTTCCCTGCTATAAAAACAGTTTAAAGCATAATTTCAACCCTTGATTGGTTTGAGGATGCAATTTGCACTATTATCATTCCTTTTAGTCATGTGAATTTCTGGCCGACATATCTCCATATCCCAGTGCTTAGGTTTGATCAGATCAAGAGTTGTAAACACAAGATGCACTCTGCTTTCATTTAGTGCACAAAAAAAAAGTAGTGCTCCCATATGCACGTATGCCCACCATAGCAGCCTACACACAATCACCATGTACTCTTACATGTATTTATAGAACCCAATAATTGATAAGTTTGATCTAGTGTTGGAGAGCTAATTCAAAATCAGTCGCTGAAGCAGAAAGGAAGCACAAATGCCGTGCAGCAGAGCGCTCTTGATTGTGTGTGGTGCAGCGCCCTCTGCTTGTGAGTGTGTTTCTACACTTTACTTTGTGATGTATCCATAACCTCTAGTTGCTTGGGTGTGGATGCCTCTTTCTGTCTCACTCTTTTAACCCCCAGTGCTTGGTTTTGGCTCTCTCTTGGCATGCAGTGTGATCACCCGGATTGTGCTCCTGCTCCAACTTAATCAATGCAGCTTTACATTTACAAGCCTTTTTGCTTTTAGTTGTTTTAAGTGTAAAACTGCTGCTTATGGCCTCAGTTTGCAGAAAACCTCCATTCAATTCCTTTATTATTGTTTCTGCCCTGAATTAATTGTTTACTGGTAGTCTCCGATTTGCTGAACGGCTCACCTCTGCAGCTGTTTTGTTCCCTCTGTAACATCAGAGATGGATTCACCCCCGCCCTTTTGAGAGCAGCCGTCACATGATTGGCTCTAGAGTCCTCGTGGGCCCCCTGCACTGCCTTGCCTTTGACGGAGGATCATGAAAAATGTATCCCCACCTAGTAATTAATCACCTCAGATTTTTATTGTGCATCTGAAGGTGCAAGACATAATTAGCTGTCGCCCCTCCTCCGATCTTGAAATAACCCGCCATTTGTGTTCCTGAGTGGAAACAAAAAAAATGCAGTATGCATTGTTTTTTTTTTTCCCCCTTTGTGTTTGGTGTTATAAACCTTGTTCCCCCCTCTCATGCCATATGCCCTCTGCTGTGGCAGGCCATGGGGGAGCTCAGAGGACCACCTAAAATATTTAGGACTCAAAGCATGCATGCACAAACAGTTACCACCCTTTAAGAACTAGTGATGCACCAAAAATATTTGGCCAAAAGTGTTTTTTCTGTTTCAGTCTTTTGGAGGGTCGAAAACATTAATTTGTTTCATTTTCATTAATCAATCAACTTTGAAAAGACATTAATAAAACCGCTTTTATTTACCTCAGGAAAGCCATTTCATGTCCATAGCTCATTAGTTAGCTAGAACACAAAAAAAATCACTCTAGAGAGACGCATTATGCTAATAATATGCAGTATATTGCATATTAATTTTATCTTAACCTGTTATCATTAATTAATATATTTTGTAATAAATCTGAAATAAAAAAAGTTATTACAGCCACCATTTAAATGTTTGTATTTGAACACCGAATTGGAATAGAAACACAATTATATCATTGGAAAGTTGCCGTATCATATAAATCATATCATATAAAATCTGCCGAATGTGCAATTTAAATGTATATATGTAACTCAGTTTTTATATGAAAAAAGTTAATTATTAAACTTGATTGATTGATTAATTGATTATTAAATAAGCATTATTTTCAATTTTCAGCTAAACTGAAACTATTTCAGTGTCAGTGTTTCGGTAAAACAAAACATTTTGGTGCATTACTAGTAAGAACCGTATACTTCAGAGAAGTTGGCCCAGGCTGTTAATGACTTCTTATTGACTTAAGGGCACAAAGCTAAAATTCATGATGACGCTTATGGCATGACATCATGAATCTTAAAATAGTGATTCTGAGAACTGAATTGACTGTTTACACCTGGTATTAAGATCTGTCTTGGTTGAGCCAAAACACTGTTTATAAAAATGCACTTTTGTTTCACTTTGAAGTCGTACATAACTGGCAAGTGGCAACATTGTAAAATTGTATTTTAGTTCTGTGGCTGACTCACAGGTAAATAGGCGGTCCTTTGAGTTTGCGATACATTAAGATGGATTCATTTTGTTCACATATGCAATGTTGGTCACATGTTTGCGACCACCTTGTAATGTGCTTGGAGTGATCGGATCACAAAGTGTTTTGGATCTTTCCCTGTTTACACGTCTTTAGTGCTGTCTGCTTGTGATTGGATCACCCGAGACTGAAAACTGACTCATGGGAATAGGGGAACAATGGCTATGTTCACACAGCAGAATAATATGGTTGTCAGTCCTGTTTGGAGTGTTAAATATGATTCATTAATCACAGTTAATTTAAAAAAAAGTGACATTCTGTAACCAGTCTTAAATATGGACAGTCATAAATATTCATGAATCACTAGCGAAATAAGAGAGCATATTGATATTTTATATGAATAGAACCATTTGAACCAATTGTCACAATAGGGCCTTTCGCACCGCAGGAACCTTTTCATAGTACCAGAACTAATTGTGGAACTACCCACTTTTTGGCGTTTTCGCACCACCGGAATTGGGTGCGATTTTAGTACCGGACTGCCTTTTTCGAGAACCAAATTAGCTCCTACTCCGGAGCAGGGTCTAACCAGCACAACTGGTACTAATCGTGACGTAAGTAGACATTGATTGGCCAAACGCGTATGAAAACGCCCTCACCCGCCATGATTTAAAACGCCGTGTAAACATACTGTAAACATTGTGTCAGCTTATTTCGCAAGTATGGAGAACAGCGATAGATGGACAGACGCTGAAGTGCAGGCACTTTTAGCAAATGTAGCACTGCCAGTTGTCGGTGGAGATTCTTAGTCCTCCTTTCCGTTCTTTCAATCGCTTTACGTGTACGTCGACTTTCCATGTCCATTATTGTGAAACCTGCGAGACAAAACAAACACACAGCTCCGATCACAGCGTCCTCCATCCTCCTGTTGTTAATGTTGTTCTACGTTTCTGTTGTTGAATGCCGCGCACAAATGACGTCGCTGTCGACCGGCTTACGTCACTTCTTAGTACACACTCTCGGTGCGAATGCAACCCTTTAAATGGTACTGGGAAATAGCTCGCGCAAAATCGTCCCAGTACTTTAGTACTGTACATTTAGTTCTGGAACTAAAGCGGTGCGAAAGGCCCTAATATTGACATAAAGTACACTATGCTTAAAAGTTTAGGGTCATTAAGATATAAATTATATATAAATTTCACAAAATATTTAACAGTATTCGGGTTTTTCACCCCATACTTTTGAACAGTAGTATATGTGATTGAAATGCAATACGTGTTTATTTGTTATCATTATTTGTTGCTGTGGTTACAGGCGTTATGCAAGAGTTCATGAAGCAATAGAATTCGGTGATGTCTGTAAAGACATCATCTAATCCGCTCCCATCTTTTTAAAGAGTCATGCCTAGCAGTTATCACTCCAAAATACTGACTGCTTGAACATAGCCAAATTAAATTGCGCTGTTAAAGCCAATTCACAGTGCACCGACAAACGGCAACAGACACATTCATCAGGTTTTGTCTGATCATGTGTTTTGACATTGGTCAGCGCTTGTTTTCGCCGATTAAACATGTTGATTCGGTGTTTGTTGGGTCTCGGAATGTCCGATAAGTCACGTATTGGTCGGCTGCCGCGTTAAGTTCCTTGCACACTGAATCCAAAATGTTCATATGCGATTTAATTATAATTCGTCACGCACAGAAACCTTGCACACCTTTGTAAAAACACCTCTCAAAATGCTTGCTACAGATGCGAAAAACAGAAAATTGAACCCGATCTGATTTTTTTTTTTATGACGGGCGAAAGTTTCAGAGGCAATGTGTAAACGTGATTGACACAATGTGAGGTCTTACTTGTTTTTTAACCTGTGAAAATTTCCGATGAGAATTTCAGACTCCGTGTGCAAGGACCGTTAGTCTGTGTCTATCAGTGCAGTGTGAATTGGCCTTTAAAAACACTCAGGAAGCTACTGAGATACTCTCAGCAACAGTTTGCAGTTATATCATGTGGCATTCAGAAACTGACGTGTCTGTCTCTCCTCCCCACGCCAGGCTCTTTCTCGCGTCACCCCAAGTGGCCTGCAGTCTGCCGTACCTCGATGAGACCCTCCACACGCCTCAAGAGCAGACCAACCACAGTCCTGATCTGCACTAGGACTTCTCCAGCAGCCTCTAGCCATGTGAAATCAACCTCAGCAAATCAAATTGAAACAAGAGACTTCATTTCCTCCTTCCTCTCAATGCAATTAAACACACTTGAGAGTCACGCAAACTCGAGAGATGGACAGATTTTGGTTTTCTTTTCTTCTTTTCACACACACCACACACGTTTCCTTACCTACACTACTCCAACAGACACCTGGGCACAACAGTTGTGCTTGTTAACATCACTTTTTGCCAGACAATCGCTGGCGAGATGGGAGGGACGGGATGGGACGGGACGGGGGGCGTGATTCTCAGCCATCGCTGCCTTCGGCCCTCTGACACACACCATGAGGAGAGGGCCGTCCTCCTGCCGTCCAAGGGCCTCTTCGCAAAGCAAGAGCGTCTTGGCTGAAGCCATGTACAGCGGCTCTGATAGCGCGACGCACCCTCTCCTATTGCAAAAAATTACTTTTACACAGCTTGGAATGCAGCTGTACTGATAGCCATTGATATTTTGCATACCGTAATCTTTTATTTTTGTCTTTTTATGTACAACAGAGATTAAATTGATTTCACACTGGCTACAGTCTTTTGCAGGTGAATCTTTTTCTCTTTTTGTTAGTTTAACAGCGTTAAGCTTAATGAAATGTGCAGAAATAAATCAAAAGTTTGAAAGCCTGTTCGTTCATGTGGCGGGATGAAGGCAGTGTCCTTTTTATGTCATTTTGTAGTTTATTATGTGGAAGGCCAGGCGAAGAAACATACAGCAAAGGTTTGAGTAGTCGTACCCACAGTATCACCTTTACACTCTTTTAGATGAGTTTTAGTTTTCGTTGCACCAATCAACCTGGCCCTCTATATCAGCTCTCATGTTTTTTGCTCATTGATTTTATTGCATTCCCTTATGCTTTTCTTTTGTTTGTCAAAAGCTGTGAAATGCATGTATTGTAGAGTTGTTGTTGTTAATGTTGATGCTTGTTTCTTTTTACCCCCTGAACTAAGCTTAGTGCTTTTACAGTATCGCATGCACACGTGGTTGGGTCAAGACTGTTGACAGACATTTATAGCAGGAAGTCGAATAATGTGAAAAGGGCTTAGTTTTTCTGACCTGAGGGTATAAATATGAACAACTTGGGGCATATGTTGAGACAAACGGGCACGTTTTCTTTTAACATTTGTGTTTGGATTTAGAAATGGATGTCCTGTGCCCAGCTTGTCTCATTGAGAGTACACCAGCCATCATTTAAGCCATGCCTGATTTGATTTAGTTTTTCTTTTGACTGACACTTTTAACAATTGAGATGCAAGGTTTTGTTTTTCTTCAACTTTATTTACTGAGTATTACCAATGCTTTTAGTACTACATTTCCCTTGTTTCGGAAGTGTGGTTCCTTGAATTACTGGTGCTATAAGTCACAGAGGACGTGGAAGGCGAGCTGCCTGTCCGTATCATTCAGCATAGTAGAGCGTAGGCTTTTTCTGTAGTCATGGGGTGGGGGGGCTAGTGGTGAAACTCTTAAATTCTGTTGTCATGTATATAGGATGTTTCTAGTGATGGCAAAGTACCATTTTTTCATAGCCACTGTCTGTGTGTGTGTGTGTGTGTGTGTGTGTGTGTATCGTGAGTATGGGGAAAAGGCTAGTGCTTAGAGAGGTGCGAGGGACTTTGTTCTGTTCTGGATTTGATAAGTTAGTCATTCTTTCTCTCCACTGGTGGTCTCACAGAAACAGCCGCTCCAGTACTGGTGTTGTTTAAATGTAGGCACAAGTACACTTTGTCGCGGATCGAGCTATTATGGATTTCTCTATTTCATTTTCTGGTTCATTCTACACACGACTACTTGGCCAGTCCTTTTGCATCACACTGTGCTGTATCAGGTGGAATTATGGAAATCTTCCTTCCCTGGAAGATTTTTTTCCTCATTTGTATTGCCACTGTATTTGTGTATTTTAAAACGTGTAAATAAATTAATAAGTACTTGTAAGTAGTTTTTTCCCTTTTCCTTTCACCACATAAAAGATGTTTCTTAAAGACATAGGCCTAGTTCATCCAAAAATTCAAAATTCTATCAATTACTTCATGTGTTCCAAATTCACAAGGCTTTTTAAAATTTTTTTTTATCTTAATTGGGTTGGTTTGACGCCATATTGCATGAGGCTGTGAGGGATAGCGTGCACTGTATAAAGGTCCTAAATCATGTAACTTTAAAATCTGTTTTATGAAGTTTTTCTACTGTATTTTTTTTCTCCTCTCAAAGAAGTTTCGTCAGCTGAATAATCGTTGTGAGGAGTCCGTCGAACGCACTGTATTGTAACTTACTAACTACCCTCAGCCTTGTTTTCATTCCAGTCAAAAATTAAGTGAACGTACACCGTATATTCTTGAAAAACGAATATATTTTAATGAAACATGACAGATTAAAAGTACGTTACATTTTTGACTTTGGCGCTCCAAAATGGTCATAAAGAGGCCACTTTGTAAAAGTGTTAATCGAGTGGGTTAAGTTTTCTGAAGATGCACGATAGCTTATGATAAACATTTATTTCAGGCTTTAATTCACATAAATATTTATCAGTGCACAGAGCTCATCTAATCGTTTTGAAGTGTTTAAGTTCAGGTGGAATTGGCTTTAAATTGAGGAACAGAAATCTGATTTCATTGCAAATCAATGTGCTTCGGAGATGAACGCTGAAGGCTTTGTGAGTTTGGAATGATAAAGGGTGAGCAAATGACAAAACAACCATTTTTTTTTGGGGAGGGAATGAGTAAAGTTCAGAGGACAATCCTGGGATCAAGAGGAATTACTTTACCAATGATTTGACTTATAATATTTAATATTTTAACCCCAAAACAATTAACTTTAGTACATTCCCACATACAATGGAATAAAGTTCCCTTCTCTTGTTTACATTTGTACTATATATCAGGAATATTCGGGTTGAAGTGATGTAACTTAACTGTAGTGATATATTGTCTACTCAACCATTTATACTGAAGCAGTCTCAAATGGGTACTCATTGTCTGAGTTTGGGCTTTTAAACATGCTATTTGCCACTCTTCCTCAGTTATATCAGCCTGCAGGTCAGACCGCCATGCTTGAAGTCTGTCATTAAATGATTCTTTAGATTTGGCCACAAACTGTTTATATAACACAGATACCTGACCTCTACCTTTCAAACAGTTAAGTGTAATATTTTCCAAAGTAGAAAGAGGAGGCTCAACCAAACTTTGGCCTTGTCTTGATAGAATAAAGCTACGTAATTGCAAATATTTGAAAAAGTGCTTTTGCGGAATTCCAAACCTTGTCCTAATTTCTTCAAAGGACATAAAGTTTCCTTCATTATAGAGATCAGAGACCTTACTAATACCTTGAATTGACCAGATTTTAAAACGGATCGGCTCTGCCAGGACGGAAATTTTCATTACCAAAAACTGGTGAAAAGCGCGAGAGTTGTGGTAATTCACCTAAATGAGCAAGAGCCTCAAACCATACTGTTATAGTATTTCTGGTATATGGATTTTTAGTACCTTTAATTAACTTCTTAGCATCAGCTGAATACAAATATAAATTCAAAGGAATTGGAATAGAGTGAGCCTCTATGGATACCCAGGTCGGAGGATAATCTTTCTCAAAATAAAACATTGCTGCTTTAATTTGAGCTGCCCAGTAGTACCATTTTAAGTTTGGTAAGTTTAACCCCCCTCTATCATAAGGCAAGTACAGCAAGGAGAGCCTGAGACGAGGGCGCTTGTTGTTCCAAATGAAGTTTGTGAAAGTTTTTTTCATTAGGACAAAAAAAGAGGAATGTGGAGGGAGGGGGATGGATTGGAAGAGATATTTGGGTAAGATTGACATTTTTAATATATTAACATGGCCAATTAATGAAATGGGGAGTTTTGTCCATCTGTTTAGCAGACCAGTTATAGAATCTGATATGGGCTTATAATTTGCTGATACAATTTCATTTACAGTTGGTGTAATTTTAATCCCAAGGTAAGTAAAACCTTCAATTAAAAGTAAAACCCTATAATTATATGCATATACTCTATCCGAACTATTTGAATCCAGTTTAAACTAATTAGAAGACATTAAAGGGATTGTTACTCAGAAATGAACATTGTGTCATTGTTTACTCCAGTGCTGTTTTAGACCCCCATCGGCATTTGTTACATGGACAAAAACAGTTCAGACATTCTGTTCCCATGAACAAGAAAGAAAGTAATACAAATTTGGAACAATGATGACAGAATGTTCATTTTTGGGTGAACTACTACTTTGTTTGGTGGTCAAGTCAAGTCTCCTTTTTTATATAGCGCTTTTAACAATACAGATTGTGTCAAAGCAGCTTTACAGTATTAAATAGGAAAATAGTGTGTCAATAATGCAAAAGGACAACAGTAAACACTCAATTTTCAGTTAAAGGCAGTGGTGAACATACCAGTGCCATAAAGACAGGCATAAAGCATAGCCAACAGGATGGAGGAGATCCAGGCTGTGTCACTGTAGCCCACCTCAAACTCTCTAATCAGCTCCTTGAAGAAAACACTGACGGCCTTGGGAAGAGCGTAGGAGAAACCTGTGATGACGAAGCAACCAAAGAGCACGGCCCAACCCCAGCCACCATCAGGGGCCTTCACTCCACTACTGCCATCATCCAGTGCCACTCCACCCATGATGCTCTACTGCTCTGTGGAGAGATGAGACACTCATGCTCTCAGGGGAATATAGGTTGTAGTATGCAAGTCTATTATGATGCCTTCAGGACCTTAAGGAATCACATATAGTCAAATGACAAGGCATTTGAGTTGGCAGTTATAATAAAATGTTTTAGTTGTATGGGTCTCACAAAGCGGGTAGTAAAATGCCCAGGCTATATTTGCACGCCAAAATCATAATGATCTGCTTCACTGTAATGAAAATAATGTCACTATGCAAAAAATTTTAATGGTCCCAAAACACGCTTTATTGTCTTCTGAGACTCAACCTACAACAGACTGAGAATTTAGCGAGAATGTTATTATGACTTGATTGTCTTAAATATAATGATAAAGTATGTGAAATTAGAATGTTTTCTAGTTTATACTCCCTTGTTAAATGATACAGGTTTGAGAGTCTTTGTATATTTTTTATATATTTACAGTTCATGTTTTTTACATTTGATTTAATTACTGAATTAATAAATTTATTTATTTTACCGTTATAGCTAATGCGACATTTTCACAGCTTTACTATTAAATAGTAGCTAATAGTAACATTTGGTAATTGAAGCTATTTTTACCATAGTACATTTTGTGAAGAAAATTGTCAATTTTGGGGAAATGCACAAATCTGCACATACTCTGATCTTTCAAAAATACTCCCTATTCATCTCTAATTGACTATCCAAGCTCACCTATATTAAATTGTACCTAGTGTTATTTTAAATACTGGCTGTTCATTCACAGTGCCGTGATTCCTCCGTATTTCAGAGGCACCTGTTACGTTTGTTCTATGTGGGGAATATACGGGAAGGGATGCTGCATGGACATTTACATTTATCAGTGTGAAGCAAGGTTTCATTTCTCATTCACATTGTCTACATCTAAGAGCGTCTGAGGCTCTGTGCAACTAATTTCAAACAATAACGTGCAGATTTAAATTCATAACTAGTACATCAACTCAACTTCATTAATTCATTACTCATTTGATATCTGATCAAATGCACATTATTATTCTTTAGTTTGGGTTAAACAAATCAATTTTGCTTGGTTGGAACAGCAGCTACGCTAATTATGTCTCTATTTGTTTCTCTGTTTCTGTAACTAGGATTCACACAAGCTTCAGTCTGGATCCAGAACACCTGAGAAGAGATGATGCCAACCCCTCAGAGGACGTCAGATGATGCCAACCCTGAAACAACATACAGAACTACCACATTTTGCTATAAGTTTGATTGCATCATATAATAATTGCTGTTAATAGTGTTCATCATCTGTTTGATTACGTCTTTAATTGATTTTTCCGTACATTTCTGCCATATGTACATTAACTGACAGTCACCACTGATAAGCTACCACTAAATATTGTAGAAACTTAATTTGCTGCAAAGTTGCTTTGCAACGATTTGTATCATGAAAAGCGCTATACAATTAAACTTGAATTGAATTGAATTGAATTGAATTACATCAAATTGACTTTTAAACCTGGTCCTAAGATCTGTGCAAACATTTTTTCATGATTTTTCATCATGTTTTCATGTTCACCTAAGCGTGCTTGTGACGCCAGCTTTTCTTTCCGTTTCTGTGCAACTGTGTGAAAATAACCTGGCCAGTTCTGAGGTTCAGTAAGTTGTGAAATATTAAAAGTTGTCTTTTTAGTGGAAACTGGAATGTTATTTCAAATATGCCGTATATCTGTGAAAAAGTGCATACTGAGTTTCTGGAGAAGCTTAACATGCATATCCATCTTAAATATTTGAAGAAGTCATATGCAGAGTCAAATTCATGTAAATTAAAGGCATCACTGCTCGTTTGAAAAATCAGGCCTGG